TTAGGGTTTAGGGGTCAGGGGGACTTGATACGTAGATTGTAAATGGAGATAACTAGGGCAACTATATGGGTTATACGGGTTACACGTACTACGTCCCCCTGGCCCTCCAAGTACTCTTCAGACTGCTGGTACTATAGGCGTGTTAGGGCTTAGGGTTTACGGGGACATCTAAGGCTACATAGCGTTCCGTAGAGTTATATCAAAGTTGTATCAGGTTTGGGAGTATTGTCAAAATGATTGGGAGCCACGTGGAAAAGCTCATAGAAAAGAACACAAAGATTTCTTAGAATGGTTCTATTGTCATTGCTGTCGTTTTTCATATTATTGCTACCAGTATTCTTTTGCGGTTTGGGTGGGAAAATGGTAATGAGTAACCGGGAGTCCTGAGCCCTAAGCCCTCAATGCAAAACCCTAAACCCTAAGGCCTAAATCCTAAACCCAAAGCCCTAAACCCTAAACCCTACATCCTAAACCCTAAATCCTAAACCCTACATCCTAAAGCGACTAAAGACGCACAGCAAGCCGCGCACTGCAGGTCGGCGTCGAAAGGCACGTTCGAGATGATCGAGAAAATGATGATGAACAAGACGAGTGTTATCAGTGGTCCACGCTTTGATGGGCTCAAGGCGTCCATGACCTGGTTATGGTTTTAGGATGTTTTAGGGTTTAGGGCTTCCATGCTTTGATGGGTTAACGGCGTCCATGGCCTGATTAAAGGTTTAGGCTTTCCATGCTTTGATGGGCTCAAGGCGTCCATGACCTGTGACATCTTCATCTTTCACAAAAACAGGCGTATTTGCAGCAGGCCGTTCTAACAGTCGGCAATTAAGCTTTGAACCCTAGACATCCTTACAGGCCCACAGTTCCATGTCATTTCCCATTTTCATTTTCACCTAGTTATCCATTATTAGGGTGATATCCTTTTGCATCCCACATATATCATATGACCCTGACCCTATAAGCTCCGTATAACCATATACAATGATTATATATCCCTACCCTAGACACTAAACCGTGTGGCAGTCCCCCTTTGAGGCATCCACCTTTTCCACCACATTAGCTGCTGTCGGCATGGAGTAACGCCAGTCTCGACCAGTCTTCGGGAACGGCAAGGATGGGTTGCCTTGCATCATGCTAGGGGCTCTAATAAGGTTACGTACGGGTTCTACACTGTTACCATGTGGGGGTTACATACGGGTTATAGGGGGTTATGTTGGATCAAATCTCCAATATTGAGGCATGTCGCTGTCACAGCATGTGATGAGAACTGCTAAAATGAAGAGGCCCCAGCGGACTGCGTAGACATGATGGATTAGTAGAAAACCACAAGGGGACAAGCAGCAGGCACGTTGCCTGTACACACTTTTCGCATACTTCATTCCCTACTAACCCTAGACCCGGCTCCAATTTTGTAATTTCCATTTTCTTTTTGATTCC